CCCCCATGTTTGTGATTTCGGCCAGTGGCGGAGGGTGGAATCATTCACTGAATAGGAAACGGGAGGAAATGCAGGTGGGAACAAGGAGAGGTCAGAGCACACGATGAGATCATAGGTTCAGAATTGGATAGATTGTGACATAATTTTGGCTCCTTTTGGTCTTGGCACTCTCATTTCTTGTATTTTCCCTGAAAGCTTGGACACTCCACAACTTTTCCACGAAAACCACGAGGTTAGGTCTGAGGTTCTAAGTCTAATATCTCTGCGGAGATAGGAAAACATGGTGGAGAAGGGATGACACCAAATGATACGATTTTTGGTCTACATCTCCAAAGACTCACTAAAACAATACAAGCGCTAATTCTGTCTCCTTTGCAGGAAAACCAACTTCTATTATAATCATAAGTTATAAAATAAGTATCATGGGTGATATTTAGCACCAAACAATGAGGTGTTGAAGATTGTGTTGTTTTTTGTCCTGTTCATAGAGTAATATCAGATTCAGCAGAATTCAGAGACTTTTAAATAGATTTGGAAAGTGACTCTAAGCCAAGTTACCTGCTACCTCACAGGGTAAATTATCGAGGCAATAAGAGGCTAGCTAGGACTTTAGCCTTGGGAAATGGTTAATTGCTTTGTCTTCTAGTTATTGTGTTGGTCCTATGCTTATTATAGAGTGTAGCATTCCAAGAGAGGGGCTATACATTTCCCGACAGGGGGGACCTATGTAGGGTGGGATGGAGGTGGGCAAGCAGTTATTGATCCTGAGGTTCATCATCAATCATGGGAAACACATACCTTAGACAGTTAGGCACTACTGTCTAACAGAACCCTATCATTTTGGCTTCTTCCTGTGTTTTCTACACCCTTCACCCACTCACACATACACATGTATACCCATGAGCAAAGCAGACACAAAGCCTTGTGTTCAACAAAGCCTTGGGCTGGCCATTGTTTTAGATGCATATATCAATACAGGGTCCTTAGTCATGGACATTATTACTCTAGGTCCTTTAAAAAAAGGATGCCTGGCTTGAACAAACAAAGTTTATGAGGAAGTATAGACTGCATTGATTTCATATACCCACATCCTCACCCCACACTATCCTGGGACTCTTGCTGTTGTTACTGTTTCTCGGAATCTTATCCTGGGCTTTGACCTGGACAGAATGTACCAGTTATGCTGGCCCTGCCCTTAGGAGCTGACAGGCAAAGGCTGGTAGCAGTCACTTGATTTTGGCTGTTAGGGGTGGACACAGTGGTGGCTGCTGCGGGTGTTACCTGGTGGGTGGGGTGGTGGAGAAACAGGTGGGTTCTTTCGCACGCCTTACATTTGTGAAGGCGGTTTTGTGCTTGGGGGCTGTTCGTGTCTTCGCCTCGCAAGCTGTTGGATGCCTCTGCTCCAACAGAGGCTGATTTCCCAGCCTGAGGCTTGCTCAAGTGCTGCTGTGGGGAATGCTTTCTTTGCACACAGGCTTGTCACCCAGGCTCTCTCTCCAGCATGCCTTCTATGACAGGGAGCAGGTGGGCAACCCGCAAGGGCTGTTTTGCCTGGGATGGCACCAGAAGCTGAGGGGGCAGGAGATGCCTGAAGGTGAGGGATCTAGTCAAAGGAGGTCAGCTGTGGCCTGGGCTGGAGGCTGGCTCCACAGTCCAGGGGTCACAGAGGTGGGCCAGAGGGCCCCACTAGTAGTGAGAATGTGCACTTTGCTCCACAGGCCCAAGCCGTGTGCTGCCGGCCTTGCTGGCGCTGCCTGTGGCATGGGTGGTTGCTGCTGGCAGGCTGGTGAGCTGCAGCTGAACCTGGTTTGATTCAGGTGAGGGTGGAGACACCAGAGCAGCATTTCCCAAAGGCTGTTCCACTGAATACTGATTCCATGGAACCTAAAAAGGATGAATGGGTTCTGGGATTGTATGAATTAAAGCAACACTGAGAGATATAAAGGGAAATGGATTTCTTTACTGAAAAAATGTCTCAAACTTATAATTTGCTAAAGAGTGTAGTAAACCTTTAGGCAAGAATTAGAGTACATCTATTTCCCAAAACTGTTTGACTATGAAACAGTTTTTGGGAGTAGCGTCTCTTGGGGTAAGTGCGCCACAGAACACGCTTTGGGAAACACTGCCTGTGCTTGCCTCGTATACTGAGTTTCTGTGCCCAGGCCAGGTACTCAGATCCTCATACCAGGATGGTGGATTAAAAAAAAAAATTTTTTTATTCTCACTCAAGGATTTTTTTTTTTTAATTGCTTTCAGAGAGAGAGAGAGAGAGGAAGGGAGAGAAAAAAAAAAACATCCCGGGCATTGAACCCTCTACCTTTTGGTCCATGGGATGACTCTCCGGACAACTGAGTCATACCAGCCAGGGCGTGGATGGTGGATTGTGAATCCAGCTATTGGTGGGGCTACTCATTGGTACTTCATACAATGCTAGTCAATGAATATGTCACAGAGAATTCTCTAGAAAAAAAGACCTCTTGATATTAAAACAATACTAAGAATCTTAAGCTGCCTTCCTCAGAATTGTGCAAGTGACTTAAGGAGGAGATAAGAGGTGCCTGCCTGTAGCAGGGGGGATGCCAGTGGTAAATAAGCCCAGCCTTGAACAAAGGAGAGGGGAGGACCAGCGTGAAGATGAATCTGCAAGGAGTGTAAGGTCACATCTCAGGGCTGAGTGAGAGGGAGCAACACAGTATGGTAGTAATAAATTGGGTTTTAGATTTGGATTCAAATCCTTGCTCAGTTACTCGTTGGATGAGGAATCCAGGCAAGTTTCTTACTGATTCTTAGCCTCAGTTTCCACATCTATAAAATGGGGTTAATAATATCTATCTCCCAGGTATTTGTGAGGAATAAGTAAGACAATACCTGTCAATCACTTAGCACATGACGTGCCACAAATCAGGAGTTCAATGAGTGTTTTTTTAAAAAGCTCTGATGCAGCCCTGGCTGGTGTGGCTCAGTGGATTGAGTGCCGGCCTGCAGCCCAAAATGTCGCCAGTTTGATTACTAGTAGGGGCACATGCCTGGGTACAGGCTGGGTCCCCCCGGTTGAGGGTGTGTAAGAGGCAACCACACATGAATGTTTCTCTCTCTCTTCCCTCCTCCCTCCCCTTTTCTCTAAAAAACATTAAATAAATAAAACCTTTTAAAAAAACGTTCTGATGATGCAGCAACAAATATATGTCAGCGGATGGAAGGACCCAGGGGCTGAGCGTGCACTGCCATACACAGAAGGCAGGCAGACAGGGGCAGGGGAAGTGAGTGGGTAGATGGAGTTTACCCTGGTGCGTTCAGGATGGCTGAGTGGAGGAAAGGAAAGGGGTGCAACACAATTAGTTTCCTGCTTCTGCAACTAGGGCCAACCTGGTTTCAACTTGGCTTTGCTACCCCCAGTCAGTGCACCGAAGGGGAAAAAAACCACTAATACATGCAGTAAACTCTAACCTGTGCCATTTAGAGTCTAGAATCCCTTGACATTCAATGTGGCCTCAGGCTGCAGCCTGGAGGAGAGACCACTGCAGCTGGAAGCCTGGCTTCAACTCCTCAAAGGGAAAGAAAAGGTCGCTGGCATTTGGGGATGCCTGGAGCCTAGTGAACCCAGCAATGAGCTGACCAATTCACCCTCTGGCTGTAGAGCTCCATCTCAAGAGGTGATTCATATCCTAATGGAAGGGAGGAGGCAAGATAATGAGCAGCTGCTTCTTCTGCCCTCTGTGTATGGTGTGCTGCCTCCAGGCCAAGCACAGGCAATTTGAGGAAATGATCTGAGGGTTCCAGGTGAGCCCTGAATGCGGTGAAGCAGTTTGTACCACATGAAGGGAAAATGGGGTGCAGCTGGCTTGTGAGTTATTAAGGCCACACCTGGCCAGTTTCAAAGAGCATCCTCCTTGATGTGGAAAGGCTTCCTGGCCAGTCTCTGCCTGGCTCTCTGAGAGATGATAGGTGCGGTGAAGGTGGTGGCAGGGCTGTTTCATGCGGGAACGGCCAGTGCTGCCTGGATAAGGGTCTTTGTGGGTGTGGTGGATGTGCACTCGGGGGGTGTTTAAATCACACCAGATGGAAATAGCATCAATAGCCAACTTATTATGTTATGAGCCTTTCCGCATGCTAACTCACTGAGCCCTCACAACCCTGAGTGGTAAGTTTTCTCTTTAGCCCCATTCTGCAAATGGGAAACTGAGCCAAGGACAGGTTGAGTAATTTTGCTAGAGGTCCTATTAGTAGCAAGAACCAGGACTTGGACCCAAGCAGTGTAGCCCCTGGACGTAGGTGCTGAACCACTGCACTTAGCAGAAATGGAATTCAGCGGTGGGCTAGATGCGATCCACAGGAAGAAGTATGAGCTACTCATTTGGCTCTGCGCTCTGGGAGGCAGGGTTGAGGTAGCTGGCTGTGTCAGGAACAAGTTCACACCAGAACCAAATATCTGAAGTACAATCCTGTTGCAGACAAAAGCAAAGAACCACAGAGGCAGCTCAGATACATTTTACTGAGCAAGTTGCTTGTGACCCTGGCCAGGGTTTACTGCCCCAGATCCATGTGTGATATTTGGGAGGTGGAGATGGGGGTATCCCCTGGCCCTGCCGCTGTCCCATATGTTTCAGGGTCAAGAGGATTCTGATTCCCAAGAAGGAGGAAAAGAACACTTGCTTGGCACGGCTTGAAATCCAGTTCCAAATTGCAGTAACTGTGTGACTTCGGGAAAGTTATTTAAACTCTCTGAGCCTCAGTTTCCTCGTCTGTAAAATAGGGGTAATAATGTGTACCTCCATAGCATTACTATGAGGATTCGATGGAACTATGACTCACACAGTGCTTGGGGAATGGTAGGTGCCTGGTCAGTGCTGTTTCCTCTGTATGCTTGCCTTCTTCTCCCTCTTTCCTAGAATAATATTATTTCCTAGGGTGAATTAAAAAAAGAGCAAGGGAAAGGCAATACAGCTGCAGGGCCTACAGCCCCCCTCAAATGCCCACAGCAAAGGAGAAAGTTATTTCTTTCTTTTTTTTTTTTTTCTGGGTACCAAATTACTTTATTTGAAGGAATGGTACAAATGAAGGACATAAGTGGATGATTGGTACAAGTTATAGAAAAGGTAAAGGTAACTCGAACATGCACATACTGCTTTGGTGTCCGGGGAAGTCACTCCCGTAGCTGTGGGAAGGCAGCCTAAGGCTTAGCTCTCTGTACTGTCTCCCAGAGTGTGCTTGTCAAAGAGATCCTCTGCCAGGCCAGCGGCAGGGGCTCCCAACCTGCGCAAGTTGGTTACATGGTCACCCAGTTCTTTGATGGATTTCACCCGCTCATCCAGGTAGTGCGTCTCAATGAAGTCACACAAATGAGGGTCATTTTTTTCAGCAGCCAGTTTGTGCAAGTCCAGCAGTGACTGATTCACACTTTTTTCCAAGTGCAATGCACATTCCATTGCATTCAGACCATTCTCCCAGTCATCACGTTCCGGTTTCTTGATATCCTGACGAAAGATTCGGCCACCTCGTTGGTTCTGCAGCTTCATCAGTTTCTCGGCATGTTCCCTCTCCTCATGAGATTGGTGAAGAATATACTTGGCAAAGTTCTTCAAAACCACATCATTACGGTCAAAGTAGTAAGACATGGTAGAGTAGGAAGCGTAGAGCTCCAGGTTGATCTGGCAGTTGATGGCGGCCTCCGAGTCCCGGTGCTAGTTCTAGCGCACCTGCGAGGTGGACGTGGTCATGATGGGCGGCTGAGGACAGGCGGCTTCGCGGGGCTGGATCGGTGGCGGAGACCTTTGGGCGGTCCGAGGGCGCTGTAAGCAGGTGGCAGAAGGATGGATCTGGGAAGCTGGATGGAATGGGGGTGGAGCGCCGGGTTCCGTTCAAGCACTGTTGGAGCAGGAAACCACGGCGACTCTCAGCGAAGACTGTGGCGCAGGATCAAGCCACCCGGCTTTTTTAGCAGGAGTCAGAAAGTTATTTCTGATTCCAGTTGTTCTTGGGAGGATGGGGGTGCAAAGAGAAGCCCTTTGGCCCTGCCTGGTCTCTGTGGTTGTAATCACCATGACACTGATTCTGCCCGAGGAACTGACACCAGAAACTGCACAGGTAAGGGAGATGGGGCTGAGGGGGTAACTGGGAATCTAGGCAGGAAGCTGCACCTTGGAGAGGGCTGAGGCCAGAAGAGGTAGCTCTGAGGCCCTAACTGAAGAGGGAGGAGAGGATGGTGACCCACCTGGCAGGAAGGCCAGCCTGTCACCAGGAGACAGCCACCATGGAGTCCTAGGTTCAGTTCACAGCCACTCCCTCCCTTCCCTTGCCCTTCCTGGAAAAAGCAAACCAGGTGGGTTTTCCCACTGGCAGCTCAACCTACGCTCTGAGCTGCCAGGAAAGAAAATGGCCAGAGAGAGGAGGCAAGTGGAGTGCATCCATTCATTCATTGATTCAACTGATATTTACAGAGCACGAATTTCCTCCACATGTGTACCAGGCCATAGACTACTTACGCAGGCCTCACTTTACATCAGCACACTTACTAGCCGTATGACCTTAGTTAAGTCACTTAACTTCTCTGGACATTTTTTTTTTTTTTTTAATATAATGAGTAAGAAGTCACCAATGTGGTATACTGCAGGCATTCAATGAATATTGTTTCTCTTTTCCCCCACCATTTCCTCCTTTCCAAATGTCTGCGGAGAGAGGACGATCAGAGGCAGCCAGCATTCATTTGCATGTGATTTTATACAAATGTGGGATGCTTTCAAGCTGGGGAGGTGAAAAGCTGCCGGAGACCCACTTTTGCCTTCACTTGCTCTGCCAACCATGCCTGTTCCGGTTTTCTATTTCTGCAAAATGAATCATTCCCGCAAATAGTGGCTTAAGACAACAACAATCATTTTATTGTTACCCCTGGTGGTTCTGCAGGTTAAGTGGACTTGATAGGTTGTTCTCACTGAGGATCCCTTGGGCAGTTGCAGTCGAATGGTAGCCAGAGCTGGAGTCATTTCAAAGGCTTCCTCACTCGCATGGTTGGCATTGATGCCGGCCTGTGAGTAGGATCTCAGCAGGGGCTGTCGCCCGGACCCCTACACGTTGCCTCTACGTGTGGTCTGGGCTTCCTCACAGCATGGCAGCTGTTCCGGGAATGAGAGTTCCAAGACAACCAGGTGGGAGCAAAAATATTACCTCTGCCTAGTCATAAGTCTGCCTAGTTTCAAGTCGAGGAAGTGCAGACCCTGTCCCTCAATGGGAAAATCATCAGTGTCACCTCGTAAGGATACGTGGGGTGGACAATCTTGCTGTAGCCATCTTAGAAAATACAATCTGCCACACCGGCCAACTAATGGCACAGAGAAGACAAGGTCCCTTCAGAAAAGCCTTTGAGTAAGAGGTGGGAGAAGGGGGATTCAGACACCACCAAGGCAGTTTTTGAAAATCAGGAATTCCAGAATTGGATCAGATTCTCCCAGAGGGCAATGGGGCAGAAAAACAGAGAAACGACAGAGCAACATAGACTGGTGCTACGGGAATTTGTTAAGTTTAGGAAAGAGCATCTGACCTTTCTCTGGTGTCCTGATATTCTTTCAGAAGACCTACTTAAGCTGTTGAGGAGGACCCTGGGAACTCAAAGGATGGGGAACTATACTGGGGTCAGAGGTCAGTGGGCACTGACCCTGGCACCTGGTGAGGAGAGCTTTAGCCTTCTCCCTGACATCCCAATCCCACCTGAAGGTAGATGGCCATTCCTACCGGGAGATGATAGGCTGATCTCTTCTCTGCTATGCCTGAAACAAGCCCATGTCCTGTATAAGCAGAAATCACCACACATGTCCACTATTCAACCTATTCCTAAAGACTTAATATATATGAGAGTGAGTTTGGAATTAGTCTTTAAAAAAGTAATTCTCCAGGCAGAAACAGAATGAAATATATGGAGATATACATGATCACTCCCCATGGAAAATAAAAGAGGGAACTCTCCCTGCTCCACCCGATGTGAATGAGGCAGAGATTAATCTAACAAAATCAAATGTATAAATTATAAATGGACAGGAACTGGCACAGGCATAAGGTGTCTGATAGTGTGCTGATGGAAATGAAAATGAGGCTTGAAAGATCAATTCTGCTTTTAAATCAGCTCCCGTCCTGCTCATGCCCCTGGGCCTGCCTGGCAGAAACACCCTGACTTATCAAATTAGAAAATACCCCATTCCCAAGCCTTTAGAACATGCACTTTCAAAGTAATTAGTAATGTTTTGGATGATGTTTCTGTGCGTCACCAGCAATAATAAAAAGGCCATAAAAGTTTGAAAGCCCATATTTTTGCTGCCTGGTGCCTGATGTAAATCAAACCCACTCTTCAAAGGGATAGACAGGAGGTTTTATGATGTGGGCTGTTGCTTGCCAAGGGGAGAAGGGTGGGTCTAAATCTGGGGGCAAGTGTCACTCGCAGTCCAGTCATTGCTGTGTGACCCTCAGCCTGTCATTTAACCACTCTGGGTTTATTGTTCTTCCATTTGTCTACCCACTTATAACCTCACCTACCCATTCAATGAACTCTGTGAGTACCTACCATGTGCCAGACATTATGCTGCTACACATGTATTTGGTGCTCACTAAATATAATCAGTATAATTCCCCGTCTTCAAGAAATTCCAGGTCAAAGAATATAAACAGGTAGATTGCAACACTACCTCGTTAGTGTTAAACCCAGCTGCTGTGAGCACAGGGTTTGAAGACGGACAGGTTTATAAAGGAATAACGATTGTTTCGCCTGACAAAGGATTACTCCCTGCTAATGATCATCTGGCCAGAGCTTTACAATGTGTCCTCCGAGAGTCTTTAATACGACCTCTGCTGAAAGAGCAGAAGAGGAAGGAAGCTTAGGTTGCAGCCAGAGCTATTCAGGTGAGATAAAACAGAACTTGACCACGCATGTTGTAGGTGGACGAGTGAGATAGCAATGGTTGATGCAGCTCCTGAGGTTAGAGACTTCCTCTGTACAGCTAGGAACTTGCATAGGACCCAATAAAAGAAGGTGTTCCCCATAGTTTTCTTTAACAAATGAATAAACAAATGCTCCATTGCCTGACCTTATTTCAGGATAGAACAGATCCTGCCCTGTATATACAAACAAGGTACACACTTACATAACAACCTGGCAGAGGGGAAAGATGTGGCCCTTCCCTGTCTGATATTGTTACTCGTATCCTTTTGAACGAGATGGCTCACTTCCTTTTTAAAATGATGTTATTGAGGGTGCAATATACATGGAGCAAAGTATGTAAATCTTAATCAAACATCTTAGTGAATTTTTCCATCTGTCCACACCCATAAGGTGCATGTAACCATCCGCACCTCAAGATAGAGAACATTTCCTTCCCCTCATAAGGCTCCTTCGTGCCCTTCCCAGCTCTGCAGAGGAAACTAGTGGCTCTGCTAACCCTTTCTGTAGATTCTCCTACCTCCATGTTCCCATTCTGTATGGAAATAAAACTATTCAAAGATAAATTCGTGTTCATTTTAGGAAAAATAATTAACAGGTTGATTTTATTCCTCCTGACATTAGGAAACATAGAATCACTAAATGTCAGTTCAGGCAGGGGCTTTGCACGTCTAGGTCAAGAGCTGCTCACCTTTTCAGGAAGTAGGACTTCTTTTCAACATCAATTTATTCCGCAGACCAGAGGTTCCCAGGGCTGGGTGGAGGGGAAATAATGGGGAGTTAGTGTTCAATGAGCACAGGGTTTCAGTTTGGGAAGATCCTGGAGACAGATGATGGTGATGGTTGCACAACAATGTGAATGTAAATTTTATGATAAATTTTATGTTATGTATATTTACCACAATAAAATAAAAAAGATAACGTATCATTTAAAATGAAAGAAAATAATGACCAAAATCCCTGCGAATTCTGTGACCGCTTCAAAATAAATTTTCATTGTGTTAATAACGGGAGATGCTATGTTCATTTGGAAAACCATCGTTCACATGAGTGTGAGAGCTACTACGAACGGCCAGTGTAATGTACACGCAAAGATTCCTAAACCTTAGCAATGCCTGCCATACCCCTGCCTCTTCCCAGTCTGTGACCCACAACCGAGATTAACTCTTCATTCCAGCACACTCAGTTGAAGCCACTGAGGCTCAGAGAGGGGAGTGACTTGTTCAGGATCACACTGGCCTGTAGCAGAGCTGGGAGAAAACCTCTGGGCTCAGGGCCCTCTAGCAGGTGCCGTTGTCTCTGGACCACCTCTGTTCTGCGCCACCTGAAAACCACATGTGCTCTTCTGAGCCTCAGTCTTTCTTTCCTGCAAATATTTAACCAGCTGCGATTACCAGCCTGGGGACACCTCACTTGCCTGTCCCATCAAGGCAGGAAGTAGGATGTACAACCAAGAGATAGGGCTTCCAGATTCCTTGGTAATTAGACCCTGAAGCTCAGTGGGGAAGAGGGGGCTGTTACAGGCTCACTCTTATCATTAAGGCTGTGTTATGGCTCCTGTGAACCAGGGCAGATGCACCTGGAGGCACAATGTTCAAAGCCGAAGGCTGAGAGTCAGTTTCAGAATAGAGGTGCTCTCCGAGGCAAGAGTGGGTGCCTTGGCTATTTCGGCCAGCAAGAGCTGACGGTAAGGAACGCTTCTCTCGCACAAGCTGTGCAGAGCATTCTGTACTGTGGGCTGTCCTGCCCCCGCTTTCCCTTTCCCAGGCTTGGTAGATGCTGCTGCTCCCCAGCCCCCTCCCTGACACTGCTAACGACATCCAATTAATTCAGTGTAATTTGGTTCATTACAAGCCCTTAGATTGGTAACAGTGTTTTCTCTCGGAATCCAGAGCAGTCTTCCTGGATTTCCTGAAAGGGACAAGGCTCCGAGATGAGGAAAGGAGAGAGGGCAAAGTCCTGCTTTATCTGCCCAGTTGAG